GGAGCACGTGGATTCATAAAGCAAGTTCTTAGAGACCTACAAAGAGACTTAGACTTCCACACAACAGTAGTGGGAGACTTTAACACTCCACTGTCAATATTAGACAGATCAATGAGAGAGAAAATAAAGATATCTAGGACTTGAACTTAGCTCTGGACCAAATGGACCTAATAGACACCTACAGAACTCTCCACCCCAAATCAACATAATATACATTCTTCTCAGCACCACATTGCACTTACTCTAAAACTGACCACATAATTGGAAGTAAAACACTCCTCAGCAAATACAAAATAATGGAAATCATAACAGTTTCTCAGACCACAGTGCAATCAAATTAGAACTCAGGATTAAGAAACTCACTCAAAACTGCACAACTACATGGAAACTGAACAACCTGCTCCTGAATGACTACTGGGTAAATAACAAAATTAAGCCAGAAATAAAGATGTCCTTTGAAACCAATGAGAACAAAGACACAACATACCAGAATCTCTGAGACACATTTAAAGCAGTGTGTAGAGGGAAATTTATAGCACTAAATGCCCACAAGTGAAAGCAGAAAAGATCTAAAACATTGACACTCTAACATCACAACTAAAAGAAATAGAGAAGCAAGAGCAAACAAATTCAAAAGCTAGCTGAAGACAAGAAATAACTAAGATCAGAGCAGAACTGAAGGAAATACAGACACAAAAAAAAACTTTAAAAAATTAATGAATCCAGGAGCTGATTTTTTGAAAAGATCAACAAAATAAATAGACCACTAGCCAGACTAGTGAAGAAAAGAGAGAAGAATCAAACAGACACAATAAAAAAATGATAAAGGGAATATCACCACTGAACCAACAGAAATACAAACTACCACCCAGAGCATACTATAAACACCTCTATGCAAATAGAAAATCTAGAAGAAATGGATAAATTCCTGGACACATACACCCTCCCAAGACTAAACCAGGAAGAAATCAAATCCCTGAATAGACCGATAACAAGTTCTGACATTGAGGCAGCAATTAATAGCCTACCAACCAAACAAAGTCCAGGACCAGATGGATTCACAGACAAATTCTACCAGAGGTACAAAGAGGAGCTGCTCTAACTCATTTTATGACGTCAGCATCATCCTGATAGCAAAACCTGGCAGAGACACAACAAAAAAGAAAATTTCAGGCCAATATCCCTGATGAACATCAATGTGAAAAAATAAAATACTGGCAAACTGAATTCAGCAGCACATCAAAAAGTTTATCCACCATGATCAGGTTGGCTTCATCCCTGAGATGCAAGGCTGGTTCGGTATAACAAATCAATAAACATAATCCATCACATAAACAGAGCCAATGACAAAAACCAGATGATTATCTCAATAGATGCAGAAAAGGCCTTCGACAAAATTCAACAGCCTTCATGCTAAAAACTCTCAATCAACTTGGTATTGATGGAATGTATCTCAAAATAAGGGCTATTTATGACAAACCCACAGCCAATATCATACTGAATTGGCAAAAACTGGAAGCATTCCCTTTGAAAACTGGCACAAAACAAGGATGCCCTCTCTCACCACTCCTATTCAACATAGTATTGGAAGTTCTGGCCAGGGCAATCAGGCAAGAGAAAGAAATAAAGGGGATTCAATTAGGAAAAGAGGAAGTCAAATTGTCTCTGTTTGCAGATGACATGATTGTGTATTTAGAAAACCCCATCATCTCAGACCAAAATCTCCTTAAGCTGATAAGCAACTTCAGCAAAGTCTTAGGATACAAAATCAATGTGCAAAAATCACAAGCATTCCTATACACCAATAACAGACAAGAGAGCCAAATCACAATTGCTACAAAGAGAATAAAACTTATAGGAATACAGCTAGGGATGTGAAGGACCTCTTGAAGGAGAACTGCAAACCACTACTCAAGAAAATAAGAGAGGACACAAATAAATGGAAAAACATTCCATGCTCATGGTAGAAAGAATCAATATGAAAATGGCCATACTGCCCAAAGTAATTTAAAGATTCAGTGCAATCTCTATCAAGCTACCATTAACTGTCTTCACAGAATTGGAAAAAAAAATATTTTAAATTTCATATGGAACCAAAAAAGAGCCTGTATAGCCAAGACAATCCTAAGCAAAAAGAACAAAGCTGGAGGCATCACACTACCTGACTTCAAACTATACTACAAGCCTACAGTAACAAAAACAGCAAGGTACTGGTACCAAAACAGACATATAGACCAATGGAACAGAACAGAGCCCTCAGAAATAACACCACACATCTACAACCATCTGATCTTTGACACACCTGACAAAAACAAGCAATAGGGAAAGGATTCCCTATTTAATAAATGGTGTTTGGAAAACTGGCTAGCTACATGCAGAAAACAAACTGGATCCCTTCCTTACACCTTATGCAAAAATTAACTCAAGATGGATTAAAGACTTAAATGTAAGACCTGGAACCATAAAACCCCTAGAGGAAAACCTAGGCAATACCATTCTGGACATAGGCATAGGCAAAGACTTCATGGCCAAAACACCAAAAGCAGTGGCAACAAAAGCCAAAATAGACAAATGGGATCTAATAAAACTAAAGAGCTTCTGCACAGCAAAAGAAACTATCATCAGAGTGAATAGGCAACCTACAGAATGGGAGAAAATTTTTGCAATCTATCTCACAAAGGGTTAATATCGAGAATCTACAAAGAACTTAAACAAATTTACAAGAAAAAAAAAACCCATTAAAAAGTGGGCAAAGAGGCCGGGCGCGGTGGCTCAAGCCTGTAATCCCAGCACTTTGGGAGGCCGAGGCGGGTGGATCACGAGGTCAAGAGATCGAGACCATCCAGGTCAACATGGTGAAACCCCGTCTCTACTAAAAATACAAAAAAATTAGCTGGGCATGGTGGTGCGTGCCTGTAATCCCAGCTACTCAGGAGGCTAAGGCAGGAGAATTGCCTGAACCCAGGAGGCGGAGGTTGTGGTGAGCCGAGATCGCGCCATTGCACTCCAGCCTGGGTAACAAGAGGGAAACTCCGTCTCAAAAAAAAAAAAAAAAAAAAAGTGGGCAAAGGATATGAACAGACACTTCTCAAAAGAAGACATTTATGCAGCCAACAAACATGAAAAAAAGCTCATCATCACTGGTCATTAGAGAAATGCAAATCAGAACCACAATGAGATACTATCTCACGCCACTTAGAATGGTGATCATTAAAAACTCAGGACACAACAGCTGCCGGAGGGGATGTGGAGAAACAGGAACGCTTTTACACTGTTAGTGGGAGTGTAAATTAGTTCAACCATTGTAGAAGGCAGTGTGGCAACTCCTCAAATATCTAGAACTAGAAATACCATTTGACCCAGCAATCCCATTATTGGGTATATACCTAAAGGATTATAAATCATTCCACTAAAAAGACACATGCACACATAATATGTTTACTGCGGCACTGTTCACAACAGCAAAGACTTGGAACCAACCCAAATGCCCATCAATGATAGACTGGATAAAGAAAATGAGGCACATATACACCATGGAATAGTATGCAGCCATAAAAAAGGATGAGTTTGGCTGGGCATGGTGGCTCATGCCTGCAATCCCAGCACTTTGGGAGGCCAAGGTGGGCAGATCACAAGATCAGGAGTTCAAGATCAGCCTCACCAATGTGGTGAAACCCTGTCTCTACTACAAATACAAAAGTTAGCCAGGCATGGTTGCGGGCACCTGTAGTCCTAGCTACTCAGGAGGCCGAGGCAGGAGAATCGCTTGAACACGGGAGTCGGAGGTTGCAGTGAGTCGAGATTGTGCTGCTGCACTCCAGCCTGGGCAACAGAGTGCAACTCCATCTCAAAAAAAAAAAAAAAAAAGGGGCGGGATGAGCTCATGTCCTTTGCAGGAACATGGATGAGGCTGGAATCTAACACAAGAACAGAAAACCAAACACCACATTTTTTCACTCATAAGTGGGAGTTGAACAACGAGAACACATGGACACAGGGAGGGGAACATCATACACTGGGGCCTGTCGGTGGGTGGGGGGATAGGCGAGGGATGGCATTAGAAATACCTAATGTAGATGACAGGTTGGTAGGTGCAAAAACCACCATGGCATGCATATACCTATGTAACAAACCTGCATGTTCTGTACATGTACCCCAGGACTTAAAGTATAATTTTAAAAACTTAGCCAGGTGTGGTGGCACACGCCTGCATGCCTGTAGTTCCAGCTATTGAGGAAGCTGAGGCAAGAGAACTGCTTGAACCTGGGAGGCAGAAGTTGCACTGAGTTGAGATCAGGCCACTGCATTACAGCCTGGGCAAGAGAGCCAGACTTTGTCTCCCCCCCCCCCCCAAAAAAAAAAAAGAGGAACTCTCTGTGTAATGCCATTCCAGTACTGAATAACAATCTCAGAAGACCCAGTGTGTTCCACACACTGCCATCTCTGGCAAAAGCAAAACAGAATAAATGACTGAGGCTGAAGGACTTCAACAGGCAGAGGGCCGGAGAGCACCATGAGGTTTCTGGAGCCCCAGATGCAAAGGAGGAGCTGCTCATCTTTTCCCATCATTTGATTAGGTCTCCCAAGTACAGGAAATGGGGCAGAACATATTCAGGTCAAGGGGGCAGGTCTATGGGGGCCTCAGCTCTGATCTGTATAGACAGAGAACTGAGCATCAGATGGAATCGTATAGGAGAGATCACGGGGGAAAGAGAACCCTTTAAACACAGCCCTCCCCGTAGGTCCCAGAAGCCACCTGACAAAGTGTTGTCCATCATGATAAAGTCTTTGCCTTTGTCACTGAGCTGCAGCACCATGGGACAGTGAAAGGATAAACGATGATGCAGCAGAAGAGTAGAGGGATAAATGAGGGCATAGGAAGATTTCCACTGAGTGCTCACAGGATTTAAACCCTTTTTGTCCCATAGAATGCTTCAACTTGGAAAGAGCTACCTGAAAACTAATGGTGCAGCTTCCTCTCAGCCCATCTGAGCTCTTACCTGTGTTCACACCTTTGACGCATTTCCAACCATTTGATGTTTTTGTTATTTTCACTTCACTCTCCACAGTCCGGGGCTCTTTCCCTTGCTCCAACGTGGAGACAATATTCATTTCAGGAAGAGAGATTCCTGCTTATAAAGAGAAAGGAATGTGATGTGCTGTGGCTTTTATAGAATCCCAGCCCTTTGTTTAGAGGAGAGAGGACATTACAAATGGATCTAGAAAAATACCTCACAAATTCACCCACTGAATGCCTCCTTTTGAATGTTTAGAGAACATGGTAAGATACGGACATCGAGCTCTCCTCTAAGAAGTACACTGAATCACAAGCAAAAAGGTAGAAAACGGCAAAGTGGATCTTTTTCTTTTTCCTTTCCTTTCCTTTTTTTTTTTTTTTTTTTTGATACAGAATCTCGCTCTTGTTGCCCAGGCTGGAGTACAGTGGCCTGATCTTGGCTCACCACAACCTCTGCCTTCTGGGTTCAGCGATTCTCCTGCCTCAGCCTCCCAAGTAGCTGAGACTGCAGGTACCTGGCACCATGCCTGGCAAATTTTTTGTATTTTTAGTAGAGACAGGGTTTCACCATGCTGCCCAGGCTGGAGTACAATGGCATGATCTTGGCTCAAAGCTACCTCCTCCACCTCCCGGGTTCAAGCGATTCTCCAGCCTCAGCCTCCTGAGTAGCTGGGATTAGAGGCATGCGCCACCACGCCCAGCTAATGTTTGTATTTTCAGTAGTGATGGGGTTTCTCCATGTTAGCCAGGCTGGTCTCGAACTCCTGACCTCGGGTGATCTGCCCGTCTCGGCCTCCCAAAGTGCTGGGATTACAGGCGTGAGCCACCACGCCCGGCCCAAAGTAGACAAGTCCAGATGCTGTACTATGAAGCTTTTCATCTGAGAATTAACACAGTTTCAGTCTTAATTGAGAAATGCAGGGGCTCCCAAGAGTCACACAAGGAAACATGCAGAGATACAGCAGAGCAGATTCCCGCTTCTGAGGGAAGTTGTCCTCACCCAGGGAGACCAGGTTCCTATAATTCTCCAACATCACGTTCCTGTATAAAGTCCTCTGAGCAGGGTCCAGGCACTTCCACTCCTCCTGAGAGAATTCTATGGCCACATCCCTGAATGTCAACCTTTCCTGATATGAGAAAACACATTTCACCAAGAAGTCATGGGGAGAGCCATTATCTTCACACAAATGACAAAAAGAGAGGTATAAATCCATTTAATTTAAATGGACATTCTGGGAGATCCAGGGAGAGGTTTTTCAGGCGAACTGTGTCTGAAAAACATTTTACCAAGTGCATACAGGGAGAGGTATCAACTTTACATAAAATGAGAAAAGGAGAGAATTGTATTGATTTGACTGAAGGGAGGGTTCTGGCAGATCCATGTTAAGGTATTTTGGGGGATTTACGGATATTAGGAAGAAAACTAGGTATGTCTCCCTAATTGCATTTTATTATATTACTCTGTAAGAGCTGACAATACCTTCTAAATAAGTGTGGATTTCCCTTTCTGTAGACAATGGAAGAAAGTTACAAATAAAAATCAACACAGGGGCTATCTCTGTAGAAGTGTTGGATATTACTTTTGACACGAGGTGATACTCAGTATCTAGATGAGCCAGAGGAAGGGTGGTATCTTCCAAGATGGCAACCTCCATGGTGGCTTTAAAGAAAGAAAGGTCACAATCTAAAAACTGTGGCCGGGCGCGGTGGCTCATGCCTGTAATCCCAGCACTTGGGAGGCCAAGGCAGGCGGATCACTAGGTCAAGAGATTGAGAGCATCCTGGCCAACATGGTGAAACTCTGCCTTTAGTAAAAAGACAAAAATTATCTGGGCGTGGTGGGGCTCGCCTGTAGTCCCAGCTACTTGGGAGGCTGAGGCAAGAGAATCCCCTGAACTCAGGAGGTGGTGGGCAGTGTGCCAAGCTTGTGCCACTGTACTCCAGCCTGGCAACAGAGTGAGACTCTATCTCATACAAAAAAACAAAAGGCCGGGCACAGTAGCTCACACCTGTTATCCCAGCACTTTGAGAGGCTGAGGCGGGCAGATCACAAGGTCAGGAGATCGAGACCATCCTGGCTAACAAGATGAAAACCCCATCTCTACTAAAAATACAAAAAATTAGCCAGGCGTTGTGGCACGTGCCTGTAGTCCCAGCCACTTGGGAGGCTGAGGCAGGAGAAACATCTGAACCCAGGAGACAGAGGTTGCAGTGAGCCACAGTTGCAACACTGCACTCCAGCCTGGGCGACAGAGCGAGACTCCATCTCAAAAAAAAAAAAAAATTTAAAAGAAAACTGTGATGATGACAGCAATAATGACTAAAGATTTTGAACACTTTCCATGTGGTGGGCATTATTCTAATGCTTTATGTGTACTAACTCGTGTAAGAACACAATAACCCATGAGAGAGATAATTTTTATTTCCATTTTACTAGGAGAAAACTGTGTCACAGAAACCCTCAGAAACAGGCCGGGCGCGGTGGCTCACGCCTGTAATCCCAGCACTTTGGGAGGCCGAGGCGGGTGGATCACGAGGTCAAGAGATCGAGACCATCCTGGTCAACATGGTGAAACCCCGTCTCTACTAAAAATACAAAAAATTAGCTGGGCATGGTTATGCGTGCCTGTAATCCCAGCTACTCAGGAGGCTGAGGCAGGAGAATTGCCTGAACCCAGGAGGCGGAGGTTGCGGTGAGCCGAGATGGCGCCATTGCACTCCAGCCTGGGTAACATGAGTGAAACTCCGTCCCAAAAA